TACAGTACACATCCTTTCTCACTGAATTATGCATGTCTAAAATGTTGAATTGGTGGATGTTCTGCTCTATATATTCTCAACAAAGATAAAATAGTTAAAGAAATAATACCCTATGATGTAATTCTACTCCGTCACATAGGATTTAAAAAAAAAGTGTAACTCATTGAATAACTGAAAATAGCAGTAAGTCAACTGAGGCTTAAAGATTGTAATAGCTAAGAGGGTGTAATATAGAAATATATGGACATGTAATATAAAATTTAATGTTAAATATACATTATACATTTATTTATATTACAGTATTTTTATATCATCTATGCAATATAAAGTATTTGATCTTTATACCTACATTAGGAAGTCATTTTGAAGGTTAAATCAAAGAGTGTATGCAGATCACTAATATTAACCATTCCATTTTAGTTAATGATAGTGACTTTCTAGAATGTATTAAGGAATTTGAAAATGAGTCAAGAATCTCTTGATTATCATTTCTGTTTATATGTCACAAAAATTATATAGCAGATTGTTAGAAATTGAGATTATTGATTTGCATCTGTAATAAGGTATTATTGACTGAAAGGAAATCTGATTGTTAAGTTTGGATGAAGTAAGTAAAGATTTTCATGTGAAGGTTAAAGAGATTTATGTATATTTTTCCTGGTTAGAGCCACCCCACCTATATATAATAAATAGTAGGCTATAAGAATTCTTATATACAGAGTAAAACCTTTTCTGAAAAATCACAGTTGTATCTGCACAAAGCTTCACTCTACAGATGACTTAAAAAGTGAATGCTTTGTGTCACAAAAATGTGATGATTTTGCCCTGGAAAGAATTACTAGTTTGCTTTCTCATCCATAAAAACACTTTCATATGACATTTGTGAAATGTGTCAAGTTATAGCAAGACAGTAACTTAAATGTTCATTAATAAGTTATAAATTATATGTATAATTGTAGTATAGTTACATGAATGTACCTGATGAATAAAGAAAGGCAGTTGATACTCTTGGATGTTGAAAGGCATATATCAGAAACAGTCTGTTCGTTAGTAATTGCTCAACCGATTTAGTGCTTTTACAGGAGGTGATTCTTATCTTTAGTTCAAAAGAAGATATTGGTTCCCCCTCCCACCCTACACACACTTAAGGACTATAAGTATTATACAGTTTTAAAAGTTTTCAAAGGTAGGCACTTCAAATTTATAATTTGCACTACATTTGCACTACCCGTGTATTGGTGTTATTCCAGAAAACTTCTCATTCAGTATGAACATTTCATATTTTATGTAAATTCATTTATGTTTATGGATACCATCATGGCAGATTTAGACTAATATTTACTTAATTTAAAGGAGCTCTCAGGTTGCGGTGATTAAGTGCGTGACTGCTAACCCAAAGGGTACCAGTTAGGACTTGCCAGCTGTTCCACTGGAGAAAGAGTCTGTCAGTCTGCTTCCAGAAAGACTTGGGCTCCGGAAACCGTGGGAAAGTTCTGCCCCACACCATAGGACCCTATGAGTTGGCATCAATTTTATGGCTGTGGGTCTGCTTAATTTAAATGGAACAGGAATTTTGGAATTAGAGACTTCACTGGTATACTCAGAAATTATTTTGAAATGAAAGATTGTTCTTTTATTAAATATAATGTATTATATTGGTTTCTTTGTGTTCCATTTGCTGTAAAAAGGAACTGTTTTTTTGTTTGTTTTTTAATCATTTTATTAGGGGCTCATACGACTTATCACAATCCATACATACATCAATTGTGAAAAGCACATTTATACATTCATTGCCCTC